CCAGCCATCCCACTACTGGGTATATATCCTAAGAACCTGAAATCAGCAATTTCAGAAGCTCCATGCACCCCTATCTTCATCGCAGCATTATTCACAATAGCCAAGTCATGGAACCAACCTAAGTGCCCAGCAACCGATGATTGGATAAAGAAGTTGTGGTATATATATACAATGGAATACTACTCAGCCATAAAAAAGGACAAAGTTGTCCCATTCACAACAACATGGATAGACCTTGAGAGTATTATGTTGAGTGAAATAAGCCAGACAGAGAAAGATGAACTCTGTATGACTCCACTCATAGGTGGTAGTTAACATATGGACAAAGAGAACTGATCGGTGGTTGCCAGGGGAAAGGGGGGTTGGGGGGAGGGCACTAGGGGTGAAGTGGTGCACCTACAACATGACTAATAATGACGTACAACTGTAATTTCACAAGGATGTTAACTTTTATAACCTTAATAAAAACAAACAAACAAAAAACAATATGCCAAATAGTCCAAACTTTTGCTCTGTGATAGACTGCTACAGGATTGGCACCCAATTTGTTGGCATTTCCCTACATTGTCACACTAAATAGTGCCCCCCACACTGACTTTGGGCTTGGCCATGTGAATCACTTTGGCCAATAAGACAATAATGTGTAACATAAGCAAAGACTTGAAAAATCTTTGCACACTGGGACTCATCCTCTCTTGCTGCTGTTAAAATCCCAACCATGACTGCCATGGGATGAAGTGCCCTGCTGGAGGATAAGAGACACGTGGTCTAGTCATCACTGTCCCCCCAGCCAATGGCCAGCCAATATTCTCAAGTATGGCTGCCTAGATGAGTGGCAGCCAACAACACACCCATGAGGGAACCCAGGTGAGACCAGCAGAGCAACAGCCATCCAGCTGAAACTAACTCAAATTGCTGACCCTGAGAATCATGAGCTAAGTAAATAGATGTTGTTTTAAGCCACTAACTTTTAGGGTGATTTTTTATGCAGCAAATGCTAACTGATACATGCTCCTTCGTTGTTTCATGGAATGGAAAAAAGAGTAAACTTTAGAAGAGTTACTGAATGTGTGATGATACTTCTAATCAGTCATTAGTACAGAATAAAGAGTGTCATAGCAATATAAGAATGTTGCTGAAAAAATATCTTTGTTTTTACAGAATTCCTAAAGGACCAAATCAACCACTTTGGGTGACTTCCTGAAATCCTCTATGGGTGTAATAAACAGCATTGAAGGGGTGAAAGCAGCCACAACCATGCCTTCATTTCTTTACGCCATAGCCTATGGGAGGAGCCCTTTCTTGGTTTGGGTTTTCCCCTTGGATGTCAACCAGAAAGTCTCACTAAATGCCTAAGAAGCAGCCCAACTTTCAAACAACTTGTTCCACTGATGTCATTGGCTGTACCCTTCCTGGCTAAGGTAAAAACGCCAACACGCTCCATCTTGCTACCAGTCAGTAGTCTCTATAAAAATATTAATACACAGTAGGTATATTATTATGATTAAAGATTCCAGTTGCTGTATCATTAAAAGAATTGTTTCTGACAGGCTAACCCTACTGTTGCCAGAACAGAGAAACACAACTGGGTGGCAGAGTAGAGCTCAATTCTCCAGGAGCCTGTACTACCTGTCAAGGTCTTAGACTGACCAGGTGGAAAAGCCTGTTGCCCCAGCCACTCACCTCCTAGCATTTAATTTAAAAGATTGTCTCTGAGTGGGTTTTGGACCTTTGCCCAGTTCCAAAAACCACATTTACTGGCTGAGGTTACTGTGTGAAAATTGTTGCAATAAAATGGCTTCAGTAATTGATTGCCAAAAATTGATTGCCAAAAATACTATGAAAACAATTGCATGTGAATATTGGTTGTATTTATTTGCAAACTTAATTAGAAGCGCATGCAAGTCTTGAATAAAATTCTTTTGAGTTTAGTTAATTATAAAGCCACAGGAATTTAACTGAGGACTAAGAAGATACGCCAATCACCTGTTCATCTCCACTGACCTCGGCATAGTGCAGTTATTCAGACACGGATATAAAGTGCATGGACATAATGAGAGGGAGGGGAGGAAAAAAGCCCAACAAGTGACAAAGGAATGATGGAGACTTTCAGGAATTTCTCTTGCATTTTCAATTTGGTAACTATCTCAAATTTTTTATGGCTGGTGGATATTATATATTGGAGCCGATTTTCCAAAAATTCATAAGAAAGCTGAAAATCCTCTGCTGGCCAACTTGGGCATTTAGGAGCTTGGGAACATCTTTGCACAGGAGAGGCCTGACTCCTTCCCATCATCTCCAAACAACGGCAAATTTCACTTCTAAGTATTTCTTCACTTCTAAGCTGTTCTGATTCTCTCTCACCATCTCTTACAGGAGGCCCCCAACGGGATCTGTGCAGCCAGTTTGGTCCTAGCCCCACGCCCCCTCTCCTCTCACTTCCATATCCCCTACACCCTTGTCCCACTCTGCAGTCAAAGCAGCTTCCAAAACTGCAGGTCTGAGCATGGCCTCCTGCCTGAAACCCCTCAGTGGTTCTCCACACCCACAACAGCTGCCTGTCCTGTGGCATAGCCACACCCCGAAGCTGAGGAAGGCTGAAGCTGTGGATGGGCCTGGGCTCTCCAGTCTCAGGTCCCTTCCCTCTGTAGGGCTCCTTCTTGACCGTATTACTAGTCCTTCCTGTCTTGTAGACATCTGGGTTTGTGACTTCACCTAAAATCCAATCTCCCGTAGATGGCTGGTGTGGTCCTCAGTGATGGGACCCCACTTCCTCTTGGTCTTGTCTCCCCAGTCTCACCATGATCCATAGGGCTCAGCAATTCTAACCAGTTATTGTTCCCTGGAGATCTAGGTTGGATGCCTCTGTGCTTTATCTGCTCACGATGCCCCCTTGGACTGGAATTGTCCCACCACCTCCCCATGAGCCTTCTTATCAACAGTCTGGTTCTCCCCCTCAAGATGCAATGCAGGGAATGCCCCTTTGCATCGACTCCTGATCCCCCACACTGAGCTCAAAGCCCCATGCCCTCCTTCGGATGTTCTCAGAGCAGACTGGGTATTCTATCATCATAACTCCTATGTTATGCTGAAATCGCAATTTTGTGTAAGTGCTTCCTAAAACTTCATGCAGGTCAGCAGCATTTTTACTTTTGCTTTCAGCAAAAACAGACTTTCGAATACAGTGGACACTTAGACAGAGGCTTTTGAACGGAAGCTAAAGAACTCGCCCAACTTTCTCAAAACCTAGCACAGCCAGAGCTCACACTTTCTCTCCCCTTAATAGGTGTCATCAGAAGGCTTGAAGGTCTCCTTGGATGGCCTCTCCCACTCCGGCAACTTCTCTTGACTCCCAGTCAGTTGGTTTCATGGGTTCCATTCATAGCAATTGCTACAACATCACATTTTATTTTTCCATTTCTGAATTTCCCTTCTGACTAAAACTCTCTCTCCCCAGCAGCTTCTGTTTTCATTGTACCTCCAGTCCCGATGCTTCTGGTCTCCTTGGCCCATCAATTCCTTATGATTTCACTGGCTTTCTCCCCAGTCTTGGGCCCCACGGGTGTGGATCTGGTTCTACTCCAAACCTCCTCCCTCTCGCTTTCTTCTGCCTCCTCCATCTTGCAGGCAGGAAGCCCAGAGTTTGCTCTGCTGGGAGCCTCACCTGCTGAACTCTAGCCACAAGTCGCTGGAGAAAGTCACGGAGACCTGGGCCTGACCAAGTCTTCACACAGACCCCCACTGCAGCTTGGCAGTTTCTTCAACAGTCTCTTCCAGAATGGGCACTTCTCCAAGTCATCGCTCTGAGTGTCTCCGAACTCCTCATGTCCCCAGCCTCCCCTGGCTCCAGCGACCCTCGGCCAACGACGGCCCTTCATTTCTTCTTCCATCCAGAGCACTCTCCACCCTTCTCTTCTCTCTCAGATAAGCAGTATGCTGACTTTGTGAAAGGCCAGAACTTCTGCGGACATGCTTCCACACACATCTTCTGCTTCCCCAGGATGGCTCCCTAGCCCTGATCCTGCATTCTCTGTCCTGAACGTTTCCCCTCCGCCTACAAATGTTCTAGCCTCCCTTAGTTGAAAACAAACTTCCTCTCCCTTTGACCACATGTTTCCTCCTGAAGGTCCTTCCTCTCTAAACTGACTGAAAATATGGACGTTCTTTCCCTGCCACTCACATGCTGGAGGAACACCCATTACCCTCACGGCAACTGAATTACTTCCTTAAGCTTGGGCACTGGCCTCCCAAGTTTGACAAACATACAGCTTTTGTTCAGACCCGTGCAGTGTCGCTCGCCCTCCCACTGGGGGCTGCATCAAAGAAGGGATTAGCTGCACAAGCGGCAGCTGCTGTGCCATGTTCGTGTTATAGTGTGTCCAACTGCGCATTTCTAAGCATGTAATCCAAATATCCTCACCTGCCCTCCAGTCTACTGAAGAAGTGATTTCTGTAATAATTCAACTCATCTTCCCTTTAGGTGATCAATTACTATTTCTTCCAGCAGGTTTTAGCTAGCCAATGATACCTTAGTAGAAACTTTGGAATGCCAAATTGAGGAAACCATATGTGGCAGCAAAAACACTTCCCACAGTGTTCCGACACACACATTTCCAGCCTCCTGTGTCCTAGAACCATGTGCCCCTCTCTCACCTTGCTCACTGGCCAATGACCTCTCTCTCCTGTGGGTGGGGTGTTAGCAGGGATCCCCAACTGACCTGCTAGTGCTGGCCACCATTAAATCCATCTGTAGCCCCATCCTTGGGTTATCTCTGACCAGAATCCCTGCTGAAGCCCCCACTGGGTCTTGGTCATCTAGTCTTTCTTCACTCTTTCCATCTGCCACAAATATTCAAGAGTTAAGGGGCACCAAGAATGCTGCAGTTTCTTTGCATTTTCACACTCAAGTTTCATTCCCTAACTCTTGCCAGGTGCTCAAGGGTCCCCACCAATTCCTTCCACCTCATTCCCAAAGGCCTATGACAAGTACATCCTCTGACCTCCAGCTCCTGGAATTCCTCTTCTTCCTCCACGTCATAGGAGAGGGTGTGGATTTTGATGTCATCGGCAGAGAGGTCGATGAACTTCCCTTCGGGGTACTCCAGGCTCTCTTTGGTAGGTGACCGGTCCTCAATGAAGGTGGTCTCACAGCAGTCGGCAGCCACGCCATCCCCCCAGGAGCGCAGCACGCCCTCCGAGTAGAGGATGATGTTGGGCCGGTAGCGGGACTCTACCGACTGCTGCAGAGTGTTGGGGTCCAGCAGCTGCTGGACTGGCTCATTCCTGCTGCCGTCCAGGGTGGCCGGTGCTGCACTGCCCCCCACCCGGCAGCTCTGGTACTGGGGTGCTGGGTAAACAGACACCAGGCCGTCTCTGCTCTCGGCCATGAAGTTTCTGGTGTTAATTAAGCCATTCCTTTTGCTGGCATCGCTGATTTTACTGTGCACCAGCATGCTCTTCTGTTCAATCAAGCCATCCATAGTGCTTTCCCTGCCCGACTGGGCGTCAGGCTGGTGGGCTGGACTCCAGGGTCACACTTGCCTCAGGGGACCCATATCTCCTGGAGGAGGAAGAAACAGAGATGAGACATGGAAATCATACCTGAAAAAGAGCTAATCACTCAGCCCCTTCTCTCAGAGGCACTAGTCAGCTGATATGCACAGTAGCTGGGAATATCAGACGATATTCCAGTCCTGCCTATGCCCGCAATTTATAAAAGGCTCTCTATCAGGGCAGCCAGCCAGCGCAAGCCAGAAATGGATTACTTGAATCTCTATAAAGGCTCTGCTTCCAAATGAAGGAGACTCTGCAGGAACTGGAACCCCTGCAGCTCTAGAGAAACCTAGGATTGCCAGCAGACATCCAGAAACCCACAGGTAAATCCATTCCATTAGCATCAGACCAGCCCACAGGGAAGATAAGGCCATAAACCTGCAATGCGGAAGATCCATGGATACTCATGAGTAGAAAACACACACTCAAGGAAGAAAGGGTCTAAAATAATGTCCCACACAGATTTAAAAGATAAATGACAGGAAGACCCACACCATTAGTACTGTATATGGACAAAATTCCCCAACTGAGGCAACACTCACATGTACATTCTAGCACATTCTAAAGTACCTATTAGAACTATCTCAACACTCACGCATGCCTACTGGCCTTCCAGCACAGTCCCAGAAGTCAGACTAGAAACTTCCTGCCTTAATGGGGCTCTACTTGGAGAAACATCCTCAAATTTGGGATGTAGTTAAGGAGTCCTCTAAATTGTTTCTCCCTGGATCATGTTCCTTTTCAGGGTTTCAAATGTTAAAAAAAAAAAGAAAAGAAGGTAACCAAGCTTATGATTTTTGGAGATAAAGAATGAATTTCCTCTTTGCAAGTTAATAATTATTATGTAAGGAAACCTCATCTTGGGGACTTCAGGTGCTCTGGCTTTCTCTGAGGTTTAAGAATTTTCTTATATTGTAATGGCTTTATTTGGTGGTAGTTGCAGGAATCTAAAATTCCAGACTTACCAGAGGAGGAGAGATAGAGAGGACACCTTTGTGACTCATTGGAAAATAACAGTTTTAACAGAGTTGACAAATGACTACTCAAACTACAGTATGTAAATGCACTGAGAGATGGCGGGTATTATCAACGTACTCTGTGTCAGATTTAAGAGAGGTCCAAAAACACACTGCTACTCTGCTTACGTGGCACGAAGAAGTATTCCACTCTGGAGGCACATTCACAATCTGCAATTTAAAACCATTAATTAAACTATTTGAACAAGATCTTTTGAGCACCGGCAACATGCAAGGCACATGTGTTCGGGCATCATATCTGTGCTCAACCATCTTCCAGGCTGGTACAACATGCTTGTTGAGGTATTTCTGGTCCAACTACTCAACTTCTCTAATCTTCCTCCTTCCACAGAGACGGCACTGGGGTGATCCTACAATTGGGCCCCCCATGTGGTTTGTGATCTCTGGATGTACGACCAAGACTAGAACAACCTTCTTGATATTCAGTTTGGTTTCTCAGTCTTAGCTCTTCTACCTAGATCCATTGTAGGTATCTTATAAAAGACATTTGGTTGCGTTTGTCCAAATTCCACCTCTCCAATGGAATCACTTGCTCTCTCCTAGCCAGAGAAACCTCTTCCTTTTCTGGTGTATTCTCAGAAGCTGTATAGTTCCTGTTGCCTCCTTCTCTGCCAGCTTGACAGTTACTAACGCAAACACCCTCTCCCAGCCCCTGCCCCTGCCCCTGTCCAGGAGCTCCCTGAGACCAAAGAGCCAGGGTTACCCTTTCCCTTGCTAGCACCTGGTATGCAGCAGGTACTCAACGAACATGTGTTGAAACAAACAGTCTCAAGTGTTACGTGATTAGAATTATCCCTACTGAGTGACCTCCTTGAGCTGCACAGCCCCAGACGTGAATTTGATGTTATGGCATCTTGAGGAAGACCAGCGTAGGTCTCTTAGATGCTTTCTAGAGTTTGCCACCCAAAGTCCCAGCTGAGAACTGGGAGTTTGTTAGGAAGGCAGCCGCTTGAGCGCCCCCTGGAACTACTGACTCAGACTCTGCATTTGCACGTGATCACAGTGACTGTTGTGCACCTTAGAGTTGAAGGACGCTGTTCTATATTGTATACTGCACGTTTTGGCCTGTGGTACAAGTTGGCTCGATTTTACAACTGATTAATTACTATCTTTTGTTAAGTATTCAAGTAAATATATCAAACAATTTGCACTCTTTTCTTTTCTTTTTTTTTCAGGAAGACTAGCCCTGAGCTAACTACTGCCAGTCCTCCTCTTTTTGCTGAGGAAGCCTGGCCCTGAGCTAACATCCGTGCCCATCTTCCTCTACTTTGTATGTGGGACGCCTACCACAGCATGGCGCGCCAAGCAGTGCCATGTCTGCACCCGGGATCCGAACCGGCGAACCCCAGGCTGCTGAGAAGCAGAATGTGCAAACTTAACCGCTGTGCCACCGGGCTGGCTCCAACAATTTGCATTCTTAAAGACCATTTTTTCTTCTTGAAGTGAACTTTTCCTACTTTGAGTGTCATAGATTATGATTACATCTGAGTGAAAGGGGCTGAAATTAGTGGAATTTTATTTTTGTCACTGCATTGTCCTTCAATATTTCTTTTAACACAGACAGGCTTGTCATATATATTGTCTTTAACTTCACAAGTCCCATTAGCTCATTTCCTTTGTGTTCTCTTCTACCCACTCCTGCTGACAGCCTTTGCTCAAGCCTGAGTTTAGCAGCTTAGAGAGAACACGGGGAAAGAACGCCTCCAGGGCTGCTACCAGCTCAGCAATCCCGCAGGCTCCTCGCCAGGGCTGTCTGGAGTCTTACCCAGGCACTGTGCTCTTCCTCCAAGGCTCTCCATAACAGGTACCTAATTATATAACTGGCTACCTTATATAACAAATCATACTTTGCTTATTCTGTATCTTTTCCTCAGTCCACCACACTCAGAACCAGTGGCTGCAAAGAGGAAAGCTTCTCACTTGATCCTTTATTTCTGCTTGAATGGCCTCTGCTATGTCTAGGATGCTGCCTTCTGTTGACAAACTCTTTCTGGGCTGCAAACTCAGCTGGGCTCCCAATTTCAACCTGTGGTGAAATTGGCCTTGAAATCTGTTTTTGTTAGTCTTTAGGGGCAGCTGGTTGAGGTACAATGCTGGCCCCAGGCTACACCTGCTGCCTTCCTGAGCTGGCAGTGGGGGCAGTGAAGAAGGGCTCCTTGTCCCTGAGTGTGACCCCCTCACTCCTCCTGCCATGGGTCTCGCTCTCTGTACTACTGCTGGAAGAACCCTCCTGCCCACAAGTGTGGGTAAATATCAGGTGGATAAGAAAATTGATAGGGACTGTACAAGAAAAAGACAGAAGTAGGTGAGAAACACCTGCACCAATATTCTATTGCTGAGGAACACATTTCTCTTTACTTTGAGACTGCCGTGATACAAAGAGCACTACAATAAGAATCAAGACGCCAGGGACGCAGCCTCAGATTTGCTACTAAATGTCTGTATGATCTTGGGCTAGTTCCTTCTGAAAGTGGAATTATTGATAAAGCAGTTGAGCAAGAGAAGCTGAAAGGTCCCTTTCAGCTCTATGATTCGTACCTCTTGGCCCTCAAGTCTTGGAGTTTTATGGGATGAGGTATTTCCACAAGGTGAGAAAAATCTCACATTGATCACAATAGGCTAGGTTTCAGTTCAATAAAATATGTCTTTATCAGGGCCAGCTCAGTGGCGTAGTGGGTAAGTTTGCATGCTCCTCATCGATAGCCCACAGTTTGTGGGTTAGGATCCCAGGCACAGAACTATGCACCATTCATCAAGCCATGCTGTGGTGGTGACCCAGCATGATACAAAATAGAGGAAGATTGGCACAGATGTTAGCTCAGGCAACAGATGTTAACTCAGGGCCAATCTTCCTCACTAAAAAAAATATATATATATGTATGTATGTTTATATATATGTATTTATCAATTGCTTATTATTTCAATGCACTGTGTCAGGTGCTGCTAGAGATAGAAAGATGAGTTCCTAACATTAAAAGTTGATGGGCCAGCCTGGAGGTGCAGCAGTTAAGTTTGCACGTTTTGCTTTGGCGGCCCGAGGTTCGCTGGTTCAGATCCGGGGTGCAGACACGGCACCACTTGGCAAGCCATGCTGTGGTAGGCATCCCACATATAAAGTGGAGGAAGATAGGCATGGATGTTAGCTCAGAGCCAGTCTTCCTCAGCAAAAAAGAGGAGGACTGGCAGCAGATGTTAGCTCAGGGCTAATCTTCCTAAAAAAAAAAAAGTTGAATCAATGAAAAAGAAAGCAATGACAAAAACCACTGCAATAGTAGTTAGGCTGAACATACCAGAAAGCCATGCCAACATGAAACTGAAGTCTAATATTTTAAAATGAGCTAAAAGGGATTGCAAAAATAATAGAAATTGTGAGAGAACAACATAAATCAGAATTGGGGGAAAAATCAGAAGCAATGTAATTTGAGAACAGAAAGAGATGTGAACAGAACTCAGGAAAGAATTAGAAATGCAAGCAAAAATAATTTCAGAAATCAAGGCTAAACCAGAAGGGACACAGGAGTGAATAAATGCAGTGGATCTTACCTTAAAAGAAACAGAACGTGGAAAATAGAAAAATGTTTTAAATAAAAAAAAAAACCATGACTACTTCAATTTATACGAAATTTTTCTAGAGTAGACAAAAGTGTTGTATTACGGAAACAACCAAAACACTGTTGGAGGGGCTGGCCTGGTCGCATAGTGGTTAAGTTCACATGCCCCACTTCCGTGGCCCAGGGCTCACTGTTTCGGATCCTGGGTGTGGACCTACACACTGCTTGTCAAGCCATGCTGAGGCGGCATCCCACAGAGAAGAACTAGAAGTACGTACAACTAGGATATACAACTATGTACCGGGGCTTTGGGGAGAAGAAAAAAAAAAGAGGAAGATTGGCAACACATGTTAACTCAGGGCCAATCTTCCTCACCAAAAAACCATACCCTAAAACAAAAACCAAAAAACACTGTTTGA